AAATAAGACCCTGTTTACATGGAGTGGGGGACCCCGGTCTAGTGGGGTTGGTTTCGTTTGTTTCCACGCTCTGGGGGACACAAAACAAAAGAAACCTACCCCACTAGACCGGGGTCCCCCACTCCATGTAAACAAGCCCTAAGACTATAACTTTTTAGCAGAACGTAATTTCGTGCAAAGAAGAATTACTTGTTACCTTAAAAAATCCACGACTATAGAACAGTAAAAGAAAGGTGCGAGGTTAATTTAAATCTGATTTAAATGCTGTTTTAACGTGATATCACCTTGCAAACATTACCATGATCATACCCTTTATTCCTCCATCTTCCAGCAACCCTGTCATCTTACCTTTATCTCTAGCCATTAGTCACGTTCAGCCCAGTCACACTAGTGTTTATGCCACCATCGACCCTTCTCCTTAAATAATCGTCACTTTTGACATTATATTTCGTAACCAGACTAACCAATTGTCGTCAAAGTTTATTATATTGTGGTTCTCTGTAACATTTTTGAATCAGAGTAGTCAAGCAACTATTAGTCTCACGAGTAGCCTCAAAGAGTGCGGTCGAAAGAAGTACATGCCGGTATGGATAAAACACGAGTCTATTTTTTTTTTTTTTTTGTTTTTCCTTTCTGTTTCCTTTTAAACGTTTTCCAGTTGCTGTTTATTTATTCCTTGTGGTGAAGCAGATCTTGACAAACCCCTTATAAAAGGAATACCGCGATATAACGAGTGCATTCCTCGCCGTACTTACAGTGATATGTTTAGGATAACGGACCCCTGTCACAAACACATTTTCCAGGCAGTCCCAAGGTATTCGGTTTATCTGGATTCCAATGCATGTATGATTCCAATTGCTGATGGAATTATGTTACGCTTAAAATGATGTTGCATTGTGGCGGATATAAGGTGTATTCAAATTACTGTGCATGCAGTAAAAATATGCTTGTGTTCATTATCCCGTGCGATGACGTATTAGGAATTGTTTAAGCCTGAATAGTATATAATTATGCACAGCTGTCATTTCGTAAAGAGTTTCATTGAACGCGGGTAAAGAAGGTTCTGCTCTGGCAGGGCCTGCTGCTGTTTTGTCGCATGCGTTGCAGCAAGCCGAGCTTCCTTTGCAACCGTAATCAGTACAAGATTTTGACAATGGAGCTCAGTCAGGTGCGGCTGTCTTGGCTGGAACACAAAATGCTGTAACCTACGTTTTAGGCCTTCGAACTCCACTTCTACGCCAAGGAGACATGACGGATTTTTTTCTTTTGTACAATTTTTGCGCTATCTGTGGAACCATCTGTTTTCTGTTTGAGAAGGGTATTCATTGCCTATTACAGGGTGAGTTATTTATTTGTCCGTGTCTAGCCCGTGTTTGTTAGGACTCAGGGGAATGTATTACCGCCTTTGTGCGGTGGTTTGCTTTATAATTTTTTTGCTTTCGCCTTATTTTTTGTTGGCGTTGCCACTTTGTTCAAGAATCGTTTAGGATTATCTTTACCCAAGGGGCTTACGACGCGCCGGGTGACCTGGCTTAATTTGTCCAAAATAATATATCGATAGTGAGTTCAGCATGTTGGGGATTTAACGCCTTTTTAATTTATGTGTTAATTATCCAAAAGACGGCAACGAATCCTTGTGATCGAGAGGCAAATGGAGGTTAGCGGTGGAGGCTTCGTGATCCCAATTATAAAGTGATTGGGCATCGCTGTGAGCCTGTTTATATAGTGACTGGCATGGGTATCGACTTTAATGAGTGAGCGTCTTTGTGAGCCTGTTTATGCAGCCATGTACGATCTGCGATTGGTATCTTTGTTAGCTCGATTATAAAGTGATTGGGTGTCGTTGTTAGGGGCACCCAACGACCCCCTTAAATAAAATTAAAAAAAAAAAAAAAAAAAAAGAAAACGGCCTAACCTGGGCAGTGAAATGTGAACAATTAAACTTCAGAAAATCGTAGGGAATTTATTAGATAAGCTTCAAAAGTATTAAATGAATGTAACGGTCATCTTGAATTGTTTAGCTGTCCTCAAGTAATAAAATTCTAGTAGTCAATATTTACTTCTCCGAAAAAAATACTTTACAGAAAACAGTCGTTGGGTGCCCCTACTTTGTGAGCCTATTGGGCCCAGGTAAAGTATCCTTTGAAAGACTTACTCCCAAAAGAGCCAGAAAATTACGGTGTGGGACTCAGAAGTGAGCCCGGAAGTTGAATAGCAGCAGAAATTATGGCACAGAACTGAACCATCGCTGTGGGAAGTTAGCTCCCTCCCCCCTCGCCTGTTTCCCCCTCTCGCCCCTAATACTACTTCCATGCGCCTGCTTCATAGGCTATACGTATAGAATACTTCGTGGAAAGTGCGGGCGTACGGTATTTTCGTACGAGGTGTTGACGTCAGATATGGAAAGAGTGAGATTTTTGATACAAAAACAGCGATCTCGGGAAAACCGTACAAAGCATTTTCCATGCGGTATTGTGTTTGTTAGATACAGAGACTTTCA